ATATATATATATATATATATATATAGCACAGACACACACACACACACCCTCATATATAAATGCATACATACATATATGGTGAGATTTACAAGTGGAAACATCCTAGCCACCAGATGTCTCGTAGTAAATGTTTACGAATGGGATTTGATAAGGATGATTTTACTTCAGTGAGGAGATCTTAAGAGAAGTAGATTATCTGTTGATAATTTCAAGTCACTTTTGTATTATTGTTAATTTGTTTATACGTTTTATTGTCTTATGGATATATATATATTTAACTTAGGCTTTTTCGGGTTAATATAATTTGTATTGGGGCACAAATGGTATATATTTATATACTACAGTAATACAGCGGTAGTAAAATTAAATTAAATTGAAAGGCAAGTGCGTGAAAAAACATTTCATTAATTAGGTTAGTTAGTATTAGCAGTAAAGTCCGTTACGAGTTTTTGTTTCTTATGTAATGCACGCTGACAGCATGTAGGAAGGGATGTCTTTTTGTATTAGGCTTCTATAAAAGATGTTTCTCAAGAAGACGAAAATACTTCATTAAAAATAAGAATTTGTTTGCTAAAGATAAAAATTGACCCGCAATTTGAGAATCTTCTAAACTATTCCATATATATATATGAAAAAATTCTGATAGCTTGGAACTAAGTTGTTGAAAATATTCTTGTGGTGTAATAATTCTAGGTATGAGTTTTAGAATTACCCAATATGCATCTAATCTAGAAAATGTTTGGTTTAACATTTATAGTTTTCAAAATTATCAAATTTAATATTTTCATAGGGTTAAACATTGTGCAGTTTGACCTAGATGTCATGAAATGTGTTTAAGCTGCACTTGGCAACACAGTAGCCATTGTGTTTTTATAAAATATTAGTATTATAAGTTGTGTTGCTGCTAGCATATCAGTGGACAACTGCTTGTTTTTCAGAAAGCCAAGGTGTTTTATAATGGAACTCGTAGAACATATCAACTTGATGATAAACATGAAGAATGTGATCATAAACATAAAATTGATTTGTACACTTTGCTCATTCTATTAGTTAAGTTCAGATGTTGGAACAATGTCACAACATGTACATGTAACTTGCCCAAAAGAAACCCATAGTTTCAAATCAGTCTGCCCTAGAGAAGCTGGAAGAAGAGAGCAAAGTGAGAAAAAGCCAACATCTCTAAGTGAAGTGCATAAATTAAGTAATAAGAATAAATATAAAATTAAATTGGATGTACCAGTTCAAGGTGTTCAGCCTACAGCTGAACATGCAGCTTGCTCAAATGAAGTTAGACAGTTCAAACCAATTAAACTTGGGTTAAAAGAACACAATGAAAAGAAGACAATTTCACAAAGTGAAGAGCATGAAGATATTAAACCTTGGGTAGGAAAGTCATATTGGTATGGTGAAGATAAAGGCCTACAATATAGTTCAGGCTTCTCTAGAGAAACTGGATCAAAAGAGCAAGTTAGCAAACAATCAACATCACAGAGTTCAGTAGGAGCTAGTGATAAAATCAAGTTTAATGCTAGAGCACATAAACAAAATGAAAACAATGTAGAGCATGCACTTAACTTGAAGGAAATCAAACAATTTAGGATGACCTGGCTTGATGATACACTAGCTAGACAGCAAGTTAAGAAGAAACATATATCTGAGAATGAAATGGATGGTAATGAGAGTTCAGAAAAAGTCAAAACCAAACTAAAGTCTCTGTGGAACAATATGAAATATGGCAAGTATTGGTTAGTATATATATGGTTTTAGGAAATACATATTTGAGTTTTGATGCATTAAAAATTAATTATTAAAAGGGCTTGATATTGATCCAAAAGAATAATTAAAAAATTGTAACATTTCACTGCAATGACCAGCAATGTTAGGTGGCATTAGCAAGCAGTAATCTATGTGCCAGGTGTATATATATGTTACAAGATCATCTGGTCACATTAAAATTAAATAATAGAAAAATTTCATGACATAAGGAAATACTTTATTAAATTTTATGCTCATGTAGATCTAATTCTTTATTTAAAGAAAAAAGAGAGATCGAATTATCCAAATTACAGCAGAAATTCTCATAATCTAAACATACTGCAGATCTAACTCTAAGCATTGGTTTTCTTGTTTGTGGAAAAACATATTCCCAACTTTTTACTGGAAAAAAGCGTATAAATTGATATAAAATTAAAGAAAAATGTTATAAATTAGGCTACCAAATTCTTCCATTAATGTAGTGAAATAATGCTATTTGATTTTTGTGTTTGTAAGGTTATTTTTGGGGGGGGTATAATCTGACACATGCCTTTATATGTGTATTTATGGTTAACTAACACAGAGGGATTTGTTTTTTAAAACTTTTGAAAGTTTAATATTTTAGCTTTTCTAGCCTGCTTCAGATGTTATAGAGCAGATTTTATACAGTGTGTGTGTAAAAATATTATAAACTGTTCACAATATTTTGTTTTATTAGTTTTGTATCTCATTGTATTAAATACTAATTTGTCACCTGCTCAGTTTTTATAATTTTTAAAACCTTATGGTAATACTGTTGATGCGTATTACGCAGAGATCAACCTCATATAGAAAAACTTTTTATATTTTGATGTAATGTTTATAAATATTTAACAAACATATGAACTATTTATTGATGAAAGAAACTTTGAAGCTATTTAACTTTCCAGCTAAGTTTACCAATTGTGTGTTTTCTTATCTTTTTCTTGAAGAAATGATAATATGAAAACATATTGAATAACAATAGTTAACAAAATCCCATAAGATGGCTAGTGATTAACTGCTTAGCAAATTAATACTGAAATTATTCTACTTTGCTGTTTAGAGATGTCCTTAGCTCAAATTTTTGTTACCTAATATGACCCAGTATGTTTTCAAATTAAGAGCAGTTTCAATCCATTTATATATTCCCAAGGTTAGTGTACTTAAGTAGAGATTGTGTTTAAATCAGCTAAATTAGCAGAAATACTACTTGAATTTGATTATAAGTGGTAGGTAAAAAATTCTTTATTAATTCTTATTTGTCAGTTGGCTAGTATATTCTTTATTGATTTGTATTCATTGGTTAACTACAATTTTAATTTGATTTATCATCAAGACTAACTTGAAGTATTCGTAATTTTGCTAAAATGAACAAAGAGAAGTTTTTATTTGTGTGTAAATATAGTTAAAACTGTTTTGTGACTTGCATGTATATTCTGTTTTTAAACCCATAGTTAAGCCCATGTAGATTCAAACTCCTTAACACAACTTGATTATGGTAAGACCAGTTGACCACTGTATGAAATATATTGTTGAGTGAACTGTTACATTCTTTTGATTCTAATTGTATTTGCTTTAGGATGGACTGTTAAAATTAAGACTAACTTCAGCTATGAAACACCAATATGGCTTTTGGGACAAATTTACCACAAGAAACTCTTGGGTATGTTGATAGTGTTTTTTGTAATAATTTACACACACACACAAAAGTAAATTCTTAAGCACTGAATGAAACAAGGGCTAGATTAACTTACAACACAAACATATGTCTGCAAATAAAGTGAAAAAAATAAAATTATCTGTTGATTTGTGCTCTATTATTATTTTTGTTTAGTGTAATATGCTGCTATCTCTTACATAACAAACTATCCCTTGCAGTGTTCTATATCACTATTAAGAGAAAAAAAAATATTTGAATACTACCTGAGTACAGGTGTTCTGGAAAACTGAATCAAACTTTCAGTGTCTAAATCAAATGAACAATTCTCACTTTATTTCCTAAAATAATAGCTAACACAGCCATGGTTGTCAAAGTACAAGTTCTCTGAGTTACTCAGAAAATCAAACAACATTACATAGTTTAAGCATCATCATAATGTGCAAGACATCCCGTGCCATTCAGTGTGAGAATAACCGAGATAATTACCCAAGGGCTTAGTGGTACTGGAGCCCAAAAACTTACTGAAAATTATATAAGTTTCATATAAAGGGAAGAAAAAAGAAGGTAAAATAAGATTTGTCAATGATAAAACTAATTATAACTCATTGAAGTTTTTATCTTCCTGTTCAATGCGTCTTGAATGATCTTTCAACACCTCTCTTCAAATCATATTCAGGCTAAGTAATATGTAATAAGATCAAAGTTTAAAAGATACTGTGATAATACATAGAATAACATTTTTACAAAAGTAATAATACATCATCTGTCATTAAAACAACTGTGAGATGCAATATATTATACTAAATTACAACAGTTGTGAAATATTTATAGTAACTTTTTAAACAATATTGTATTTTTGCAGAGAAGTTAATTTTGAACAGAGGAGCTGAAAGATTGTTTGGTACTATATGTTTAGATTAAAAACCCTTTTGAGTTATTATTATATTTTCTCCTTAATTTACTCACTTTATGAATTTAAAACAGAAGATTGATCTTGATGTTGCTATAAACCAAATAAAAGAAAAACAGTAATTTCCCCCAACTGACCAACCCTCAATGTCCTTTGATTTTGAGAAGGTGCCCTAGAAAAGTGCCAAGTAGTGGTTTGCTTTAGCTATTATTGAATTATGATTATTATAAAACTCTCATATCATTTATCAGAACAAACATTTTGTTGTTTGATGATCATGTGCTAAAGAAAAGGTTAGGGAATAAATGAAAGGAAGTTTTTCTATGTATGTGGCTATAGGAGACGAGTTATTGGGTATAGGTGGACTACAAAAACTCTTGTCCCGGGGTCTTTAAATTCTTGTATCCTTTAAAGAAAACAGTGTGTTATTTTATTTTATGTTAAGCTGGTGAGATAATGCTATTTTACATTATTTTAAGCTCATGAATGTATTTTAAAATAATCTTTTCATATATGTAAATTTATATGATATCTATTTTTTTATTCTATTAAGTTTAAGTTTTATATACTAAAGAATAATTATACTGTAGAAGAGTGTAATCAGAATGTTTTTGTTATCACAGAGTCAGCAACTGCAAGCATGGAGAGATTTAAGCAAGATTTTATCAGTAGAATATGGCTTACATACAGGAAAGAATTTCCAGTATTAGCAGGCTCAACTTTGACCACAGACTGTGGCTGGGGTTGCATGCTGCGTAGTGGACAGATGATGCTAGCTCAAGCCCTTCTCTGCCATTTTTTGGGTAGAAGTTAGTATGTTAATGACCATTATTTATGGTCAGTTCTGGAATGAGCAAATTAATTGGTTTGATTTAATACATGTTGTCAAGGAAAAGTCTTGGAAGAAAATGAAAGCATTACTTTAAGTCAATGTTATAGTTTATGGCTTGATTTGATTTAATACATGTTGTCAAGGAAAATTCTTGGAAGACAATGAAAGCATTACTTTAAGTCAAAGTTAAAGTTTATGGCTTGATTTGATTTAATACATGTTGTCAAGGAAAATTCTTGGAAGACAATGAAAGCATTACTTTAAGTCAATGTTAAAGTTTATGGCTTGATTTGATTTAATACATGTTGTCAAGGAAAATTCTTGGAAGACAATGAAAGCATTACTTTAAGTCAAAGTTAAAGTTTATGGTCTTATCATACATTTCGTAGAAGAGTTTCTAAAAAAGATATTGGTTTTCAAAATGTCTGAATTAAAGAATATTTTCATTATCACACCTGTTTATTAGAAGTTAGAAATAATATAAAGCTGATTTTCATAAATTTATATGATTTGATTATCTATACCTGTTTGGTTTATGAATATGCTGAGAAAACACCTTATAAGGTTTTAATTCATGGATTCAGTGGTTTTTTTTTGTTTTTTTTTGTAGGTTGGAGATGGCATGGCTCTCAGACGGAGAGGACAGAAATTTTTCATAGAATGATCATTCGATGGTTTGGAGATGATATGCACCCACGATGCCCTTTTTCAGTTCATCACTTAGTAGCTGCTGGACAGAGTTTGGGCAAGAAGGCTGGTGATTGGTATGGGCCAGCTAGTGTGGCATACATCTTAAAGTAAGAGTATGTCTGTTTTGAAAGCATTGCTCCAGAAGTGAAGTTGATTTCTTGTGATTTGGCAAAGGAGATTTTGAAGTTGATAGAGCTATTTAACATTTGTTTTCTATGTAGGTTATAAAAAACATATATATTTAATAACATTCAACAGAATGAGGAGTTCAGTTTATCAGTACACTAACCTTTAGATATTCTTGTTCAGGTGTATCTCAATTAACACATTTAACACTGTAGCCACAAAGTCACCTGCATGTAGGTGATGTCCAAGAGTTTTTCACTATATCTTATTTATCACTGTAAGTCATTAACAAAATGTGCATTTATAAAAAATGAGATTCAGTACATGTATTATGTAATATATGATTTGTCAGTTTTCTTCTCTTCTGTCATTGAAAATTTGAAAATATTACTAAAGTTTCTTTCTATTGAGAATACTGTACTGGGTCGGCTTCATAAAGAAATTTACTCCTCTTTTTTTTACATATAGAGAAGAAATGCATGAAAGAAAATTAAAAAGTGATTGAAAAAATGTGAGGAAAATAGATTTGTAGTTTTTTCATAGTGGAATTTTTTGCATGATCAAAAAACTAAATGAAACAGTAGATTAAAATAATAAAAAACATTTAGTTATGGTAATAGTGTAAACTATTCACGTAATGTTTATGTTGATTGGTCATTTTGAAGATTTCTCTAAGTAGCATTATCATAGTTGTTGAAACTTCTGAAAATGAAAAGATTTTTATGCAGAAAGTATTTTGTACTTTATATAAAAGTGTTAAAAGGAACAGAGTAATGTATAAAGTTTAGTAACACTAGTTAATATGCCTAATACATGTTTATATCTTCTTTCAAAGCAAGTTTCAGGGTATGTACAGGCCCTTGAAAACTTTTTGTGGAGAAAGTCCTTGAATGTGTTTGTGTGTGCTGAACAATGTATATCTTTTGAGAAAGAAAGTCAGTAAAAATTATATATATAATTGCCAAATATCTGTCTGTCACCCTCTGTATCTCCTGAATGGCTATTCATGGAAAAAGAAACTATATATCAAAATAATTCTTTTTTTTTTTTTTATTTCAAGACTACTTTATAGGAAGATTATTCCTTTTTTGCAATTCCTAAAATTTCATATTCATGCAAACATTGATCTGTCAGTCTTTGTATGAACTGAACAGTCAGTCTGAGAAAACAAACATATTAAGAACAAAAATGTTTCTTTTTGCGAGGGAATTTCATAAAAAAAAATTAAACTTCTTCTGTTGACTGAGTGAAAGAAATATATCGAAGACAGGAGTATGAATGGAATAAATGCATAAAGAAAGGAACATGTTGAGTATATATTTGTTATTCTTTGGTTTTTAAATATATATATTTTTTTCATGTTAGTACTATATACATGCATAATTTTATTGTAACATATTTAATAAAATGAATTGAATATCTCCTCTTTGACACTTATTATAGAAAAGACTGCTACCAAAGTGAGCACTTTTTGATAGTTGTCATTTCTATAATAAGTGTCAAAGAGGAGATATTCAATTC